TAAGTACAAAATCAAGTAAATAGGATACTACTCAAAAATCAAAATTGTTAGGAATAATTACAAAATCACAAAATAATTTAGAATCAAAGCACCGAAAATTACTCCGAAAACAGTCTCAAGGTTCTGACAAATCCAGTAGTTTGAAGGTTGATGGCTGGGGTCCTATCCTTAATGATGAGGGCCTCAGCTATCATGAGTCGGTTGGCGTCGGGGCATCTCATGACGACGCTGGTGCATTCTTCCAGCACCGTACGAGTGATGGTCTCGTTGTGGGCTTCCATCAGGTGGTTCTTTGGTCCACCAGACTGAAGGTGGCACGTGAGACGTCGGCTTAATGTCGTAGTTGTGAGCCCGATGTAGTCCATATTGGGGAGAAGTCTACAACCTTCTCTATTGCAAGAAAATTTATAGACTACATTGGTCTCTTGGAAAACTCCCGTTTTTTTGCAGGGGTTATTGTTCATTACAAGATTCTGTATTTTCTTGTTTTTGTAATAAATCAGCAGTTTAATTTTATTATTAGTTACGTTCACGATGTTGTTGTGAACGAAATAAAAATGTCCATCGGTAACCTGATTTTCGATTTGCCAGTTCAAACTAAAAATATTGTTCGATATATTGAAAAAACTAATAAGAAAATTGCGAATAAAACAAATTCTCTGGTCTTCAATGAAAACATATTTGGATATCAACACAAATTGACACAAATCAACACAATATCCCTAATGTTATCACAGCCACCTTGACCTGGCTGGATGTGACTAGCATAATGAAGCAACAACGGCACTCGTGCTCACCTCATCACACACATTGTGCTCATTTCATCACGCACTTTGTGCTCACTTCATCACGCTCGTTGAGCACACCATGAGCATCACAAGCTGGACGTGAGCGTTCTATTCTCGCGCAGTGAAGCGACAAATTCGCGCTCAGTTCGTGCCACGCATTTGCACTGATCTTTGTTTTTGTAAAAGCAAAGTCACGGCTATTGATGTTATCATCACATCTGTTGTTGTTGCGAGCATTTGATCAAGTCAAGCTCTAGGGAATTTATGTCAGCACAGCGCATGTGTAACGTATGAAACTTATTCAAATTTGACGCAACAAGTTTTTTTAGCTCATTTTAATTGCCTTGAGGTTTTTCAGAATTTACATGGGAATTACATGAAAAAAATTTGTAATTAAATAATTCGCCCTAATAACGATTGTTAAAGTAATTGGCACTAAAAAGTAAATCAAGGAACATGTATCCATTCCCTTCTTCTGTCGTCTTAATTAATTGAAAAATTACAACTTGAACCCAAAATTTTGTTACGTATAAATTGTTGGGGAGAAGAAAGTGTTCGCTTCAACTGCAGTTACCATACCAAAGGATTTTGAATGCAAACTCATACACTTATATTTTCTATCAAAATTTTAATCATAAGCACATATCTGTAAAGTAAAGTTGAATTAATTTACCAATTACCCCAACAACATGGAAATCATGATCATTCGTTCAACAAAAATGTGATTTGATTAAATATGAACATTTATTGCTCAATCGCAGTGCAACGTCACCTCGATTCAAACGAGTTAGTTCTAATTAAATAAATAATCAATAATACCTCACATGACCCTCATCACATACAACTGGAAACTACAATAGTAACGAACAAATAATGTTAACTTGATTGTCGAGTGCAATTAACGAGTTCCATATTGAGCCTTATATTGTTTCTGAACAACTCGCAGCAGCCGCAAACCTTCCACTATATAAACACAAAACAAAGTCATTGTTGAAACCACGTAGAGTCAAGAGTTCCGTTGCTGGGGTACTGAAACAAAAGTGAGGGTAGCACAAATGTAAGGGTCTATATAAGGCGGCCGTGTCGCCAGTAATTAGAAAGTGGAGCGTGTCGAATGCTGTGCGAGTTAATGTCTTCCAACCATCGTCCTTGAGTGATAGTCTGACATATGATATTCTAATATGTTTTCCACCTGCACCTCGAAATTTGATAAACACTGTAATAATGATATAATTATTGGCATTTAAATTATCGGCATTTAATTATAGTAATTCTCAAATGAATAAAATTACAATTATTGGCCATCGAAATGACCGTTATAAATGACATTGCAGTTAGTTAAGGTAGTGAACTTGTGAGAAAAGCAATCGATCAATAGTTTTAGCCGAAGTAAATGTGCTTCTGATTGTGGTCAAAATCACTGAAAAGTTTGTAATGTTCTTCAGGGTAATGGGCTTGATTAATTTTATTGTTCAATAATACTCAGGTGCATGGCGTATGACAAAATGTCTATTTGTTCAATTAAGGAGGACACAACGGTGAGATGAAACTCGCATGATTCACAAATAGTCTGTATAAAATCATATAAGCATCGCCTATAGAAGGATTGTAATCAACTTTGCATTAGCGATCTGACATAGTTCCAGAAGTTTCTGAAAGACATCAAATTATTTGCATGAATAGAGCTCCAAAACCATTCCACACATTAAATGTTTGGACTAAAGCTGGCCTTACAATCACTCGTGTAGTAACATGAAGTCGAATTATAAGTTGTCAGTGAATGACCGCAGTTCGATGCGCGCTAATACCGCTCTGATTTTCTAATGGGTCAATTTGTACGTCCCTCTGTCGGGCTCAGCCCTCAATAGTCAATTTAGCCCTCTTAATTGTAAACCCCTTGTATCTTATCGAGCCCCTCCATCCTGATGAACCCTTCCGTATAATCCATCCGGGACACGAGTCCCAAATTATCTTGCTTGTTGACACGACAGGGAAAGTACTTTGTGGTGAGCTTAGTTACTTATAGTTACAGTACGCACGAGCGTAGATATACATATGCGATGATTGTAAAATAAATCATGATATATAGAAAAACTCTCTTTTGATAAGTGTGCTAGAGCGAGGGAGAAATCGACTTCAAATTGCCAGTACTATAATTATTAATTTTCCTTTATTTTACTTGTCTGCATAAATCGCAAGTTCATCAAGAATTTAAAAGCAAAGAAAACGCAATGCAAGCTCACTATATATTCACTAACAACGTTTCGGAGAACAAAGAAGAATAAATAAATAATGTCTATTGCCGTGAGTCAGCACTCTGTAAATAGTGAGGAAGGTTTGCGAGTGCCATTTCCTTCAGATACAAAAAGCTCGTTGAAAGTTAACTATTGGGTAGCAGTCTCATTTGTTCAATGGACATGCTATGACATGTCAGGACATGTCAGGAATTGTTAGGACATGTTTAGCATGACATGCCAGGACAAGTTATTATTTAAAATTTCGTTACTTCTACTAAATTCGCAGCCCATGATGGTTGTTAGTAACAGTTACGCCATATTTTGTTTTATTATACGGAATACCGAAGTTAAGGCTTCTACCGCGTCAGTTTGCATAATCAAATAACGAACACGAATTTGCGGCAGGATGAACCACGAAAAGGTTGTGAGCGACCATATCACGAAACACGGTTTGGTTGGGAGCAATCAAACCACGAGCAGATCGGGATCAACGGAACCTCGAACCGTGTCACGCATGCATGCTGTCCGACATCCAAAGCAGCACAAATTTACATACATCCAAGCGCGTGTAGCTCTTTTTCCGTCACAGTACGGATGAAGCAACTATTATTAAGATGTAAAAATGCTCGGTCATCAGCCCGCAGGATCAGACTTTGAGATCTCATGGCACGATAATATAAATAACGACAAGTAGAAGATAATCCCTGCCAAGGTATAGGAGTGATGGTGATTGAGTTTTTTTTGTATATTGCATGGGTGCGTTTTGCGCTCAGGCGCAATGGTATAATGACCATGACCTCCTTTTCACTTCTCAGGCGTACAGATTTCATCTACCAGAGGCACACACTCAAACATAAGATATGGGCCATTGCCTGCAGGAGAAGTGATACACTTTCTTACCTGCAGAGCAAGCAGGGAGCGCACCTAATACTGATACGCCCTTCTGCCGGCAAAACTGGGTCAGGATGACCCACGCAAGGAAAAAATATAACTCAGTACTCTCAGCAGTGAGTGACAGAGAGCGCATTTTCTCGTCGACGAAAACTTGAGGTCACGGACGGACGGACAGACGGACGGACGGACAAACAGACGGACGGACAGACGGACATGGCTAGCACCATAGTAATTTTTTCCATAAATGAGAAAATGCGCTAAAAAGGAGTACCGCTATGTAGAGAAACTTGCTCATTTATTTTATATTATGCACATGTTAGCGATTAGCCTCAATGTGAGTTTGTCGCATTGAGGCTAATCGCATTAGCCTCAATGCGATTAGCCTCAACTAGCCTACTGGAAACTAAGAAGTCCATCACACTGAATCTTCCTTAATTCAAATATATTCTTCTGTCAATTTATAAATTATTTTTTAGCGTTATTAGCGTCAGCATAAAGCATCGGCTCTATAGCGAACATATTTTTTTATTCGATTGTGTTTGACACAATTGTCGTCGTTTTATTTAATTGTCCATTAATATTTTTGTATTAAGATGTATTGATCTATTTAAAAACTGTTTATCGACTATTTACTCTTACTTTAGGCATAGCATTCAAATGATTATGTTATATAACGTTTACCGCCGCCAGAAAGTATATACGGGGTATGTCAACTTTCGGTTGTTTATTGCAGCTCATCCGACTGGCAGGCACGAAAAAAGTAGCAATTAAATCAAACCTAATGAAGCGGAATTCTTCATCAATGCTGTCATGATTTTTTTTAATTTTAGCAACACACAATGATGAAAATCTCGAAGATTATATAGTATGTTATATATACTCGTATGACAGATAACTATCGATGCCGGGTATGTGTTGCGTCAGTTATTCTTGCTACTATAGGCGTTGACGTAGGGATTGACTATAAACTTTCTTGTACTAATGAATTTATCCAGGCAAAACTTCGAAGTGATTATTTCTCATCACATCTATGACTTAATTTAATAAGCGAAAAAAAAACTTTACTAAATGAGGATCATACCTGGAGGTGTTTTGCTGGGTGTGTTATTTACATCGAGGAGCTCTTTTTCAGACGCTGAAGGTTCTTGTTTCATGAAAGCATCAGCAGTTTCATTCGAGCGTGGGTTGTTAGTTTCAGAAGAGTATAGTTTCTCAGCACTGTCTTGCAGACGATCGCAAGCAGCGCGTAGGAATACGTCGCCAAGTAAGTCCCGGATCAAGAAGCTCTTGTTTGAACTCATGGTTGTAGTGCCAAAAAACTTGTCAACGATGTTTTAATCCTCTTGCGGGTATTTGTAAATTAATTAATATGAGCATAACTAATAACGTAATGAGGATTCTTGACAAGGTTTGATCAAATAAAGAAAGATGCTCTATGAACCGATATCAGTTGCGCATTTCCTCATTTGCACTCTTTAGACATCTTCGTTGAATTTTGATTGGTGATGAAGTTTACGGACTACTCTAGATTTTTTTTTCAAATGATTTAAAGAAGCTAACGTGTATACGCACAATTTGTTTTGAAGAAACTTCATAAAGAAATCTTGAAATGTATGAACCGTCTATAATATTGTTACTTTTCTAAAGCTTGTTAAACTACTACGCAGCAGAGAGAATCTTGGGCTTAATTAATGCACCAAATCTTGAGCTTGAGTGATTGGTTTTAGGAAATCTCTGCCGCGATTCGCCAGACCCTTAGCCAGTTCAAACGTAATTTGAAATTTTGGTTTCGGTTTGTTTCATTCTAAGTCCAGGACGCTTTTGACCGTTGAACATAAATTTTATGACATCTCAATTCCAATTTACGTGATGGTTAAGGATTTAATATTAGCATAACACCTTCAACTTGGCGAAACGACCAAGGAGCTTTATACTATGCCCAGAACTCCTAAGAGCTACACTGTTCGTTATATAGCATTGCCTCAGTATATTCATTAACATTTTAAGTCATCACTGTAATTACATTTGAATTTAAATGTCCTCTACCACAATAATTGTTGAAGGAAATCCAGCTTTTCTTACCTGCAATCACTTATACAGTATTATTAAGGAATATCTTAGGTCCATCGGAGAACCCAAAAACCAAAATTACAAATATTATTATCTCGTGTTGGAATATTTTGGGGTTAGACTATCATTGAAAGTTTTTCAGTATTTGAATTTTCTATGACATGAGGTAAAACACCTGTTTCCAAGTCCAGTCAAAAATTTATTATTTGTTTCTAGGGTACACAGAAATTGTTCGCAGAAACGCCCCGCTCCAAATTTGACAGAACAGCGCGACCGCAGACCGGGGTTCGGGAGGAAGTTGACGTCACCAGGGGCGATCAAATCGTAATTACGGCGTCCCGAAATTAGGGACCGGCTTTTCCCCTCACAATCCTAAGCTCCTCCTCTACATGCCACTCCTTCCCTCGTCAGGACACTCGCCGACGCCCCTCCTGTAGACCAAGCAAGCCCTCTGTTTATTGGACGTCGCTGAATCTCACCAACGCAAAAAATTACAGCCGAGTTCTCATTGGTCGATGGCAAAGCGTTGGTATAAAACATCGTGCTGTATGTAAACACTTCATTTGCATTCAAATTGAGAGTAAATTGACGTGGAAAATGATGCCATAACTGAATGTAATGCTCGCGGCAGTGCGTCTATTGAGAGCAGCGCTTTGTGCTCACAGACTTTGCCTTTCAGTGCGGCTCCCGCCCCACCAAGCTTCCTTTATTGCTATTGACGCCACCTTTTTATCCGCATCAAGTCATTATTATCATCATTATAATTATTATAGCAATGTATTTACATGTGAGATTTTCATAACCGCTGTTCTGACTTTACTGCTAAGCAGCAAAACTCGTGAAAATGACGTGTGCTCAGCTGCGATCATATTCTACCCGGGCTAACAAGGTTATCTATTTCAGGAGATATTATAGGATTGTCAAAAAACCGTGTGCACTCCTACGTTCAATCTGATATTTTTCTTTACATCAGAGTGTAGTGAAAATGAGGATTTACTCACAAAACCCTATGAATATGGCGCAGGTCCACAACTTAATCATCTAAATATTTAGATGTTAAATTGAACTTTGGATGATTTTTTATCAAATTAAAAAAGTTCAAATTACGATAGACATTCTAGTGGTAGCAATGTTAATTGAAAGCTTAGATATAATTAATGCATGGACGTCAGTTAGATTTTTAGCGCTCCAACATCAATAAGAATATTATTGTCAGTTTCTAACCCATATCCACGTATAAAGTTATGGATGAATAAATAATATGCATTGTACAGGAAGAATTAAGGGACAATACATTTAATAGTTCCCTATACACTCAAGGATATTTAATTTCACGTAGTTTTTAAATATCCATCGAAATGTCCTTGTTATATATGCCTCGCTTGTTCTTTGTCTCGTTATATTTTACCACAAAAGCATTACGTGTCTGCATTATCATGAAAATGTCAATTCTGCAGTGTTTCTATGCGTGATGCTGAGATGTATGATTTCTATTTTTTATCTAGTTTGATTCAGTGCTGTATCCTGCATTGTTATTTCCTTTTATATCCCTAAGTCCAAATTTGTATTGTGAGGAAAGGCTCAGAATGCAAGCAAATAAGTAGAAGTAATTGAAGCTTTAAAAAATGAGTGTTGATAAGAAGAATACAGTACTATATTTTACATTGCGATTTAGTCTATGACAACACAAGGTTTATACTGCATTTTTGCTTTTTAAACCCAGTATAATGATTGACTTTCTGATCGTTGAGCTCTATGACAAATTACCAACGCCAGCCCTGACTATCATATACATTTGCATTCATTTGCTAATTCTACCCAGATATTCGCACGCCCTGTGCTGGGGCAGGACAGGTGGGCGAAATAAGGCTAAATTGATTAAAACCCTCCCTCGTGTTCTATTAAAATATCGTTCTCCGTTTACCATAAATTTATCTCTAGAAAATATTATGCAAGGTGACGGTCGTTTACGAAAAAAAATCTAACCAACAACTTGGTTTAGGAATCTTATGCTAAATAATAACAGAATTCAAAAGTCTACCAATTTCGGACCGGCCGGCCGAGGTGGTCAAAATCACAAAGATTGGTGCAGCCTAGCCGTTACGAGTACTATATATACGTGCGCGACCCATGCACATATGTATCAGTGAAAATTCTGCGATGTCTAGAATCGGCCACTGGCCTAACATAACAATACCGACACCACAAGTTATTATTTATGTATTGTTATATTATCACTGATATAGTTTTAGACCAGTGGTTCCCAAACTTTTTCAGGCTGGCGCCCCCTTTGGCTCCCTATATAGTGAACTTCTAGCGCCCCCCACAGACACATATAAAAACATACGCCTCTTTCTTGAAATTTAGTACGCTGTAATTTTAACAGATAAATGTTAAACACAAGTGTGTATTTCACAAATAGAACCACATTTAGTGAACCAAATTATTTTTCAGCTGTTTTAACTGTTTCAGCACTAGAAACCTAGGACGTTTCGGGCAAATTCACGGCCGGACTCGTGGCCAGTCGCATGACCAATCTCCAAATTCAATTATCAAGTAATATCTCCCAAACTAATGAACGCAGCTCAAGGAAACTTGGAACATATATTCATCAGAACGTAACGTTGATTTTTAGCTCGTAACAATTTTTAAATTACACCTTCATTCGCGAGTTATATTGCGACAAAGGCCGAAATTCGCAATGATCAAAGAATTTCTTCCAAACTACTGAACAGATTTGAAAGAAATTTTGAATATACATTCCTAACTACCAAGCGTTGATTTTTTGGGCTTTTAAAAATGTTCGATTTTACCTTCGTTTGCGCGTTTTTTTTTTCATTTCACAGTCATTCCTGATTTCACACTTCCTTATATTCGGCTTGTTTCGCCGGATAATTTGTCGCTTAAATTCGCGTAGATCAACAGATTTCACCGAAACTTTGTATATAAATACCTAACCTCTCAACGGTGATGTTTAGCTCGCGACAATTTTTCTATTTTGTTTTCGTTCGCGAGTTATACAGATATAGGAGGAACGACCGGCTTCTCTACGTACCGGCCGGTTTAACCAAGAGCCGTTTACGTATATCCGTATACGTATAGCCGTATAACTCGCAAACGAAGGCAAAACTAAAAAATTGTAGCAAGCTAAACATCACCGTTGCTGAGGTTAAGTATTTAAATGCTAAGTTTCGTTCAAATCTATTCAGTAATTTTGGATTAATTTCTTGATTATTGCGAATTTAAGCACGTATTGCTGTTTAAATCACTAATGAAGGTGAAATAGAAAAAAAAACTCTCGAACAAAGGCACAATCGAATAAATTTTTAAGAGCTAAACATTACCGTTCGGTAGTTAGGACTGTAAATTCAAAATTTCGTTCGAATCTGCTCAATAGTTTGGAAAAAATTTCTTGATTACCCGGTACTGTGAATTTCGGCCGGTATTGCCATATAACTATGGCAAAAATAAATGAAGGCAAAATTAATAAAAAATTCACGAGCTTAACATTACCGTCAGGTCCTAATGAATACGTGTACCAAGTTTCATCGAGTTAAGTTCATTAGTTTGAGAGATATTACTTGAACATTGAATTGGAAATTGGCCGTGAGATCGGTCGCGAGTCCGGCCGTTAATCTGTGACATAAACCAGGAGAAGTTAAAAAACATCTGGGTGAAAAAATCATCGCTGGGAGTCATGATGTGCTGCACGTGTTGTGTACAAATCGTCAAACAAACGTTCGAACTTCTGACTACCGCCCCCCTATCGCCCCCTACCACACTCATCTTCCTTACCGCCCCCCAAAACCTTTCCACCGCCCCCAAGGGGGCGATATCGCCCACTTTGGGAACCACTGTTTTAGACGATTGTTGTATATGTTACCAAACCCGGCGGGCCCGTCAAGATCGTCTGTTGTCATTTTCAATATAGCAATTTCGACGGTACATCAATCCTGCAGCCCACTGGATAAAAATTTTTAATTTGCGCTATGTCCTCACGATGAATGGCTGAAATTTCTATTTTGTTTGAAATCTCCTGTAATTAATGAGAGGAAAACTGATATTTTTCTCTCAACAACAGAAGCTGAAGAGTCTGCACTAACTTATTACACAAACACGTAAATTCATTTTGACAAATCGCGAAGCATAAGCTTTATGTGTACTTTGACTTACCTGGAAATAAATAATGGCTATGGCTGCCATGTCCTTCAACGAATTTTTAATCAAAGAATAAACTCAAAAGTAATAAATTTGACAATCACCTTCTATTGACTATGAGTATTAAATATGAGTATTAAATCTTGTAGCGATCCTAGCTATCAATAGTAATTATGTACATACATTATTATATAGTATACTATAGGCGAGTCTATGTCAAGATATAAGTCTATTACAGAAACTAAAATTTCAACATGTTTAAGGACAAAAGTCTATTGTTTTTGCTCCCCACATTTCATTGTTCCCTTTCCTCATTTCACAGACTTGACAGTTGGCTATTCCTATTAGCGATGAATAACTTTTTCAAATTCGTTTTATGAGCTCCTGAGTTGGTTTAGACAGAAAAACATAATCAAAAATTAAGCTATAGTAGCACCAAAAAGTGCATGTAAATATCATTTAAACAAATATTTTTCATAATTTTTTATATTCCACTCGAGAAAGTACAGTAGAAAAATTATATCAAGACCAAAGTTGAAAATGATGTTGAACTCACAGTTCAGGTAGGGCTAACATAAAATAGATACAAAAACCCTTTTGAAGTTTATTTCGACAACGGTCGTGTGACAAAAATGACAGACAATTCGCTCCCGAACATTTAAACGAAATTTAACGAATCACAAAATGGTTTTTGGTTATGGGAGATATCCGGTAGATGCTTTCGAATTTCATGTCATTCTGTTACGTCCTGATGACAGGAGCAAGTTTGAAAACTGAAAAAATTTTCAAACAAAATGATGGTTTTTATTGGGCCAAAAAGAGACATTGTTTTTAGCGGTTTGGCCTATCATTAGCTAATTAGAAAACGACTGATTTCACAAACTTGAGACAATTACAGCCACTGCGCATATTTGTAATTGATATATTCCTCGAAATTTGTGAAAATCCAAGTTCGTTTGCTGAGGTGAATAATTAATGATCTAAGTCGGGAGTCACTTAACTCGCAGCCTGAAATTGATACAGCTACTGCGCATGTTTGAAATTTATACGTTTTTCGAGCATGACGAAGATACGTACGAGATCATTTGTGCAAATATTTATTAATTAATTGCATATTTAATGGTGTGCTGATGACATCATGCCACTACTGCAAGCCTCCAGCCTCTGGTGTGCTGATGACATCATGCCGCTACTGTAAGCCTCCAGCCTCTGGTGTGCTGATGACATCATGCCGCTACTGCAAGCCTCTACAGCCTCTGGTGTGCTGATGACATCATGCCGCTACTGCAAGCCTCCAGCCTCTAGTGTGCATGACGTGGACGATAAACTACGAGTGTAGCGATATAAAGTCTTGGTAAATATCTGAGTGCGAATTAAAATCTTTAATTTGTGTGTTCCATTGTTGCACTGAAAGCGAACAATACGAATATACAGTTCAATTTGTTTTAATAAATATAACAAACTCGTCTCCATGTATTTGTTTTCTTTCACGATTGCTCAAGACGTTAATAAATTCATTAAAAATGAACAAATTAATAAATTATCTGACAACTTGCATGCTCAGTAGCTTGATTAATTTGTTTGAATTGGAAGTCCGTATTAATTAATTTTTTACTTCTATTATATTTGAAGGGCCCTATAAGTTAATTTTAAATGTAAATCTAGACACAAAATTTTCCATAGTTATAAATAGGTAAAACATATGATTAATTCAATGTACATGTGTTGCATTATCAAAATTCTCAAGATTATTGCGTAATGTTTTGGAAACTCCTCTTGCTTGGTGCCCTTGTGCCTGGCAAAAATTTTGTCCAACACAACTTTGCAGACTCTAGTTGCTCACCCCAACCCTGGCCACAGGACTCGGGCACTGTCACTGACTGGATGTCAGCGGTTGCCCGTTGTAGACGAAGAAGGTAACATCGCACTCGAGACTCTCAGATGTTCCCAAAGATTTGGCAGCACGATTTATTCCCCACGTCCAAGAGACTCTTAAATGTCTCTAGGGGTTTAGCGACACGACTTATCCCAATACCTTCCATTGCGGTGATGGTGACAGTTCACGACGTGTTGATCCGGATATAACTTATCAGCATGTGGTCGCGCTAAACATTTCTACGAAAAGAGCGACAAATGCAACCTATTTCGCCGAATTAGCAGAAAATTATGTACAATAAGAAATAATTCGACAGGCATAAATGAATGTTTCCCTTGCTGGGGAAACTGTAACCATGTCAAATATTCATCTTGTAATTGGAGATTATTATTTACAATTTATAGTAATTTTCCTTGTAAAATTCAGTATTTCTCCGACTCGTGCAAGGATTGACGGAGCTTATCCTCGGAGGATTGAACTCTCACGGTGATGATCTTGGAAAAATGAATGTGATTGTAACTATCACGGTGATCACAGTGGTGAAGATGAGCTCAATCCTCACGATGATCATTGATCATAGTTATGAAGATGATCGAAACTCTTAGGACGAAGAGTAAGCCTTGTTCCGTGACTAGGTCTTGCATTGATTGACATGGAAACCGCCAAGACTTTCGAAATTTCGAAGGTAATTTGATATATGTAAACAAATTTTGAAAGTAATTTGATATATGTAAACAAAATGGCAGCAGGCGAGATAGATAGCAACCAAGTTGGCAAGCAAGTCTGTAACCGATGTGAAAAACACATTATCAACCATATTGGCAATCAAGTTAACTGCTAACAGCCATGTTGTCAACCACGTGCAGCCATGCTGTCAACCACGTTAGTTACCAAGTTGGCAATCACGTTAGCAACAATGTTAACAACCACGTTACCAAGCACGGTAGTACCAGAGTTAGTAATTATTTTGGCAACCTAGTCAGTAACACAGTTTCCAACTGTTTTAGAAACCAAGTTATTAACTATGTCATAAACCAAGTTAGTACCATGTTATTACCCAAGTTAGTGATCAAGTTATTAACCTAGTTGGTGATTAATTTATTACCCAAGTTTGTAGCACAGTTTTTAACCACGTTAACGGCCAAATCATTTTAAATTGCTACACGTTGCATGTCTCACCGAAATAGCGGATAGCGAGCAGCGTCTCTACCAAGCGGCGCTGTCATGTGCCCGGGCCGGTGCGTGTTTTATTGTGTTATGGAGGTGCTTCATTTAGTCGGAGCATGAATAGTGAGCAACACAGCTATTATATTATTTATTTAGAAATTTCTTAAATATTCTGCTTAGTTCGAAGTGAAGAGGCCTTTTACACTAGTTAGGCAAGAATTCTCGAAATTCTGTTTTCTCTGCGCAGTTAGGTGGTCATTATTTGGTAACTTGAATGGTTCTGATTGGGCGAACGCTTGTTCATGCTAGTATCTCCCTTATGAATAGTATCTTTTTCGTGCTAGTTCCTCTCTGATCTAGTATATTTTTTTTCGTGCTGTTCCCTCTGATTTGGCACATTTATTTCTCGTGCTTGTCCCTCTCTGAATTCTAGTGCATTTATTTTTCGTGCTAGTCCCTCTCTTATCTAGTATCATGTTCCTAAAGTACCTGACTGATCTAGTATTTTCTTACTATTGAAGTTAAGAAATTCGCAGGTGTTCAAATTAAGCATTAGAAAACAATTCAGAAGATGTAATGTTCAGCGAGCATGTAGGTAGCGAAACTTCGATTGGTTATTTCTGAACATTGGTTCAAGTTTAGTTCACTCCCTGATTTGTCACGGATGTGATCGATGTGATTACCTATTCATAGATAGCCTTAGTTACGCCATCTGCACGGACTGTTGATGTACATTAGCAATATCCTATACTACACGCCAACGAACTGACATTACACGTGTAAATGCTTACAAAATTTCACATATCTTGCTGTTTGGACGTGATTTGCTAGTGTTAATAATTTATTCTTCATGCATGGTGACTAAGATTCTTATGAATTATCATCCATGCATCTCGGGTATGATAACAATTTTTAATGTGGAATTCTTCGAGCCAAATATTCAAAAATTCAAAAAGTCTTCTCGCAATTTGTATTATAGATGTATGCTAACTTTAAAACAATGGTTATAGATCATTTATTATAGATAAATTTATTGCTGTATATCAAACTTTTCCCATAGAGACCATAAGAACTGACGAACGCGCGCCAGAAAACGTACATTATTCCTGGGAATATTTGAAAACTCTAATAAATTGAAGCAAGTTCATCATCAACTGCGATACTTCGAAAGCTCAGCCTGCAGGGATAAGTTTAAATTTCCCATGAATAGCATCCAAATGTGGAATTTTACCAATTAAAAGCGACATATAGATACAATGGCGGTATGAAATCGCATGAAATAAAATGCAGTCTTGTCCAACAAACTTTTCCAATCATTAGCAATATAATTTATTTAAGGGCTTTACTTTTTTCATTGGTTTAGCAGTCGAAGTTTTATTCCTAATTGCGCATATCGCTTGCTGGACTAAGGATTTCAATCAAGACTATTAGAATCATTTCTACATTCAATAATATGATTAAAGAGGAGATTTAAGGTTTCATACACCCCGTCCCTTACAAATATCTTGTTTGGGGAAGGTTGGTTTTTGCCACTAGGTGTATGCTTTGACTGGGTTTTAGCAACAAGATTCTATTGATAATGCCAGATGTTCCTATTAATTGTTTTAAAGGGGATCCGGAAGCGAGAAATGAAAATTATGAGTGGCCGTGGCGATATTCAGGTTTCGTATGGTAAATTAAAAATCTGACATCTGTAAGTTTGCTATTGTTTACATTTTGGCCCTAGTACCGCATAGAAAATTCTTTGGCCTTTTAAAATTTCTTCCCAACGGAAAGCCGTGATGGATTTACTTTCACGACTGTATGTGTGTTGGTTATTCTTGGTGTTCACGGCCCACACCACAGCTGTCGCAACCAACACAGTGGCAGCAGGTGAGCTGGTCACGCAAAGGCGCAATGAAACGTTTATTTAATTGAATTTTTTTGAGTCAATATAATTCACTGTTGATGGGTACTTGCAATGTATTGTTCCTTTTATACTAATTTGAACTACTCTGTGGGTCAGAGGGGCTGTGCCGTGATGAGATCGACAACTGCGCGTTCTACAAAGAGGACTGCTTGTTCATGGCGAACTTGTGCCTCAAGACTTGCGGTCGGTGCGTTGGAAGCGTCGACAAAGAACCTGACCCATACTCATCTGACTATCCTGCGGTGCTTGTCGACTATGATGTATACTACGCAATGCAAGGCTTCACCGATCCTGACGCCCAAACTGACAATCAGAAAGAATTTGACGACAGCTCAGTGGAAGCCATCGAGTTCATCCGTAAGTCTCTGGAGGTGGAAGACGACAGCAGTGATGCTAAACCAAATTTTGCCGATATAAAGCCACTTCCTCATCCTTCTGTATCAGGTTACGTTCCACACACAACTTCAGCGGATCTCGTTACCGATAGCGATGGTGGCTATCGTTCCGACCTAAGGCTTGACGTCGAATTTCTTGACTTCGATTCGTTTTTACGAAGAACCAATAGCAGTCAAGACCAAATCTTGTCAAAACGGTCTATGCCAGTGGACAACATAAAGTTCATTACGCACTTCATCAGGCAGCTTAGAGGAACCGTTCCAGACTCTGCAAGCCTACAACGCTCACTCTATCGACTCAACCGAATTGTGACATTCTACGAAGGACGTCAAGATCCACGGTTTGTACAAGAAGTCGTAAATTATTTTGTGGCGCCCCAGCGAGATCGGAACACAGTCGCCAACTCACAACAAGACTTCTTGGATTCTCTGATATCTTACAGGACCGTACCTCCCAGTGCTCCTTGAACTACATCTCACGTTGTTCCTTGAACCGTACCTCACACTGCCCATTTGAACCGTGCCTCACACTGCCCATTTGAACCGTGCCTTTCGAGATTCTCTTGAACCATACTGTACGCTATCCAACTGAAACGCTCCTGAAGATGTTACTTGAAAAGTTCATTACGATGCCCCCTGAACCACTTCTTACGATGTCCTCTTGCTCGTTGCCCTCTTGGCCCTCTTACGACGCTCCTTGAACCGCTCCTCACGATGAGCTGCCCTTTTTTACACGATGCCTTGTAAGAATATTTCAATGCACAATAACGCATGAAAAAAAACAATTTCCTCGAATTCTCTGAGCAAGCTTGATACTTCATCATTTGTTGAATTATACGTATTTGATTATATCAAGTGCTTGATCATTTTGTGAGAATTTCTTTTCTGACCGTCGGACGGTCGCCATATATTTTACAGAACCACAGTATGATTCATGTTTAAAAAGTCCGTCACTGAAAGAAATCCAGTATTTTCGCTGAGGATCATGAAGTTATTCTTTGGTTCAGGGTCCAAAATTTTCGCCGTATCCATCTGACTCGTTAATTTGTTTGCGCTTGGCAGTGAAAGTTTTAGCGTCCCCTAAGCTGAGCAGCTCGAATCAAATTAAGTTTCATTGATTGCTTGGAGTTCAAAATAAAGTTTCATTTAACTGCCTGGAGTTTCGTTTAAAATAAAAAAAAACAAATGACTTAAAATGAACTTTTATTGTCAACATTTAGATTTTTTCAGAATATGTCAATACTTTAATTCAGTTATGTCTTCAGCCATGACACATAACTCATTTTATTCTCACTTTTTTATTCCTTAAACTCTGACAACTTGAATGTCAGAAGCACTTTGATCTGTACATGCCAAAGGGAGACCGGTCGATAATGGCCGTTCAATTTCAATTTAGCAGTAGTTTTGGTTGACGCGATTTTTTCGGTCGCGCAATCTGCTCGCAAGCAACCACTTCACTTAGCCTTTCCCTTGCCGTATCTTGTTTGCATTGCGTTATTGTAAATATTATTTGCTTTTGCCAACGTTGAAGATCAGGCCAAGTTAGCAAGCAACACTCGCTAATAAAATTGATCATCGAGAAGGAACAAGTGTCAATAACCCGACCTTGTTTGATTGATTACCTTTAGGTCCTGGAAAAATTTGGGTTGGAGATGCCAGTTGGAATCGTTGAAAAATTGGAATACGACTGGGGAAAAATCAAAAACAAAAAGGAACGAATAGGCTATCATTTTGTATTTTAATTTTGTCGATTCACAGTGGAAAAGAACACGATTTACCTACTCCGCTAACTATTGTACTTGTGGTTTTTAAATTTTGTTTAATTGAAAAAATTTTCTCGAGTCCTATGTAAGACAAAGAAAATATTTGAAAATTTGTAATAAGCTGCGAATGCAAAGCTATGTCTGATCACAATTGCCTCCGCAAACAATCTAAAATAACATGAACTTTGAATATCCCCCCATCCCCCATGTTACCGAAAACCTTCACGTTAGTTGAAAGATACATCAACGAACTTTTGTGGTTGCATGGAGCTAAAATATCCTTTGAACGTTGAAATAACTCTCCTCAAAGCGTCAAATTTTCTACGAAGAAGTTTTTGAGTTGCGACAGCAACCGAGTACCTACTACCTACATCTCCAAAATTCGTGACGGTGCGATGACAGTTTCTGGCAACATAAGGCATAAATGAGAGCAACTTTTTCGAAAAAGCGATGCATTTTATGCCCTGGTCGGGGTCATCTTGACCCAGTTTGGCACAACAAAAGGGCGTATCATTGCTACGTACGCATTCTGCTCGAGTTGTGGGTAGGAAGTAAGTCGCTATTTGCACCCAATAACACATTAATTTTCTGGGTTATGGCATCGTGACAACGATCTCACGAGCACCGGACTCGAACCATGCAGTGTGCATCTTGAGGGACAACGGGAGGAAGCCCAACACCCTTGGAGCAGCTGAAGGCCGAAAGAGGATTTTATACCGAGTGTATGAAATCAGAGCGACGATGATGGTCAGTAAAGAAGTCATTGATGTTTAAGGAAAGTTTACATTTAATCTTTCTACAGCTGCAATAAAGATATTTCCCTGCGTGAAAATGACGAATTCAAGATAAATCTCGGTTGTTCGATTGTAAATTGCCCAACAAAACAGGACGACCTGCCAAAAGAAGCCTCGGCGATGCAGCAGTCGTGGATGCGAGGAGCCATATTGGATTTGGGGTGCGTGCCGACCTCCGGTCAGACATTCAGAGCGGTCATCCGCGCTGCATAGACATAAATCTATTCATAAATCCCAAATAGGAAGTTGGCGTCATCCTCGGCAACTAATAAAATGTTTATTTAAAAATTATTCACTACAATATCATGAGAAAGAGCAGTGGGACGCAGTAATGTAAGTTGGTTTGACAAAACCTAGGTTGAATTTGGATTTCTATGCAGGATCTACCCAACCTCAGTTCGCAATCCCGGTGTTCGCAACTAGGATAAATTTTTCTGCTTGATCTGACTCCAAAGATCTCGATGAAATAACTAGCCAGTCGTAAAGATTACAAGACTAATTTACACGAATTATTTCCTTTACTTCACTCAAATCGTCAAGCTCCCCAAAAGTTGATCATCGAATTAAATATCGTCGCTTTCAATGTCGAATTTTGCCACCGTGAAAATTTATTCTGATCCAAAAGAGGAGCTACTGGCGGTAAACTAGCCACGAAAACGCGTTCCACTCAAAAATTTATAGCTCTCTTAAATAATTGACTATACCGAAACATCGAATATAAATTGGACTCTACAAACTTCAAAATTACAACAAATTGAAATGTCACACATATACTTCAATTGTTGCTGCTTCTGTTGTCCTGTCATGAGGTAAACCAAAATTGATTCATATGTCTGAATAAGCGTAAAATTTTCTTCGGTCACCGTGTGTTAATTTTCCGGGCACCCATGAATTACTGTCGAGAAATTCTTGTGTAGATGCAGCTTACCAATTGACATGCAGGCCGCGTCTCGGGGCAGATCTTGCCCCAGCCTCATGGTTGAAATAATAATTATATTAATTCGACCATGCCCCAGCCTCGTCTAGCCGAGTTTATAATTTTGTGAAACCTTGTCCAAGGGTTTCCAAAGGATCATGGGTTTAAGTCCAAAAAGCGCCCTAGATCTAAGTGTTTCCAAAGGATCCTTTTTAGATTCATAGGATTCTAATAAACGCAGCCTCCCCAGAAATATCGGAAAATTCCTGCTCATTACTGAAATCTCGCAGCTCAAATGTGACGTATTATTAATAATTTTAGAAACTCGAAGCTTGATTGTGTTTTCTGTTAACAAAATAATTCATTTCACGAGAATCGTACAAATCCAAAAGGCAGTAAAGCTCCAGTCACAGCTTGCATTAGAGCTTTCCTGGAAACTGGAGCTCTGGCACGGAAAGTATTCCGCGCCAGCTCCCCAGCAGGATGTTTTATTTTTTGGGTCCCGAAGGACCCCCTTCCCCCCTAACTCCCTTCCCCCAAGAGCAAAGCAGTAGCCAGGTGAAGGCAGCGCCCCAACTCCTCAAGAATTGGGTGCTACCATTCACGGGCCACCGTCGCTCTCGCCGCGTGGCCTGTAACAGCCACAGAAGAGTAACCGCAAGAATGCGATAAATCTCTTCCCCCTCTTTGGGGGCGGCGCCTCTCTTCGGCTCAGCTCAGGCCTCACTATAGATCTAGTGAGGTCCTGTTACGCTCGCCAGTAGCGGGGATCCCAGGGATCCATGCAAGTGGCGTAGACATGATGGGCGTATTACCAGTCCGACATGTTCAACAAGTTCAATCGAAATTTCCAAGAAAATCGATGAGGAAGACGAATTTTGAGACCAGACTTTATATAGTCCCGTATTGTGGATACGAAATTGGACAAACCCCTATATGTGACGTCTCGAGACAGCAGACAACTTCATTGTCAATCTGAGGTCCATCGGGTAAAGAACATTCGTCGCTCGTGCCCAAAAATACAATCCAGTTAATTTTCAACCTAAAGTCGTTTGAATGGAAGGAAAAGTATTTAAAATTTTCACTCTCAAACAATTACCAATTGGTGAATAAATTGGTACCAAAGTTAAAATTTTGCCCGAGTTGAAGGCGGTATTACCATTTACCAGCGTATATAGTATACAATAATACAATAGCTGTCGAGAGTGGAATAATGTTTGTGATTCCCTCAAACGCCCACATAACGCAATGGCGCTTTCAATTTAATGTAAGAAAAATCAGAAAAAAATGTAAAAAAAATTTGTAAGGATGCCAAACCGATTTCCAGTGATTATTTCCTTTATTAACTTCAATCTTCTCAAGAACCCAGAAAGTTTATAATTTTTCACTTTATTGATATTAATTTTGTCATTGTCTTTTCCATCTTTTACCATCGTGAAAATCTGTTCCGAATCGCAGGAAGAGCTACTGTACACTATGGCTACGAAGACGCACCTAGACGCTTATAGCTTAACAAATAAATTCCGGGAGATTAAAATGCAATTCTGCAACCCAAAAATGATAGCTATCGAAATGTCACAGCCTGTGTTGTACTGGTACAAAAGCCGCACGTTTTTTGTATAACGTACATATATTATTCTTTTTACATGATATAAAAGTAGCTTCAAGTAATTAGGTCTTAAGTAATGGCAGGGTTAGGTAAAAGCTCTTGCAAGAGTTCGTGCGCGTAAAGTTAACAGGACGCGAGTTTCGAGTAATACGCAATGGATTTACACGTTCCAACAATAAGGCCATCGGTAAACATAATTTGAGAATTCTGATACGTACATTACATACTCTAATCACATACGTGATTATTCACTTAATTGTTGTAAGACATATTTTTATCGAATAAATAATATACGTTTAAAAATTACTTTTTAAAGACAACACTTCTAAAGAATCCAGTGTTTCCAATGTTACATATGTACAATGAATTTCAAATTTTATTTTCATTTATTGAAAAAATTAATTTTTCAATTTTTTAATAAATAAATTTTTTTCGAAATTATTTATTCTGTCAATTTATTCATGCATTGCCTCCAACTTCATACAAGTGTGCAAAATTTCATATCAATTAGACAGTTAAAAGTGTGTCAAATATCAATTATAAGATTTGTAACTGACAAAATTATGTTTTCAGTTATTTTAATATTGGAAAAAAAAAATTATTCTTAAAATTATTTATTTTGTCATTTGATTCATGCATTGTCTCCAACTTCACGCAAAATTTCAGATCGATTGGATAAGTAGAAGTGTATTAAATTTCGATTACAAGATTTGTAGCAGACAGACAAACAGGCAAGAAGTGACTCAATCGACAATTCTACGGACCCACCTTCAAACTCGCTTGCGGACTCGCGCAACTGGGACACTCATAATTCCTTCAGTATTTAACGGATCTGTATGAATTTTGGCATGCGAGTATTAATTATCGATACGCTGCCGCAGGAATTATTAAAGATTTTTACATGAATTATTTCCTAACCTAACTTAACCTAACCCAACCTAACCTAATAATAAGTCATGTAAAAAATCTGTAATAATTCCTGCGGCAGCGTATCGATAATTAATACTCACATTCCAAAATTCGTGCAGATCCGTTAAGTATTGAAGGAATTATGAGTGTCCCAGTTGCTTAAAAATACGTTTATTGGTTTTAATTAAA